CCTGCTTGTTGATGTCCTGAGACAGCAGGTGGCCTTAAGTGGGTCCCTGTGCGCACCTGCTTTGCATGCAGGGGTGAATTTCACTTTGTGATCTTGGCAGTGTCACTTAGCCTTACTTTCTTCCTCTCTGTAAGCGGGCGATGTTTCCCTCAGGTGTTGAAGTTTTTAATTGTCTTGTACTTGAGACCTTTGGCAAGAGGGAACTAGTGTTATGCAACAAAGATATGAAACTGTCGGCTATTCTGAACTTTAAAAAGTGTTGAAGTTCTCACTTTGGGGTCGTCTTGTTTAATTTTGGACACATGTTTTGAGATCCTGTTATCCGAACTTAAGACTTTTTGGTTTCCTTGTATTCAGTTGCCAGGTAGAAAGCTGGTGTCCTCCCCTGTGTCCCAGAGTGTTACACCACATGAAGATCCTTCCCAGCAGTTCTTGCAGCAGAGTCTTGAGCGAGTTTACAATCTTCAGCACTTGGACCCACAGGGCACACAGGAACTGCTCGAATTCACCATAAGGTAAGGTGTAGTGGCTCTTGGGACAGGAAACCAGTTCCCAGGTTTTATGAAATAGCTCCTTGATTCCCAGTACTGTTGTTTAGTTTCCCAGTTTCTAAGGGCTCTTAGGCTGAGCTCTCTGCTGGAGAGAATAATTTGATGAACAGTACTTGGGTTATATGAAATGTAATGGGTGTTCCCCACCCCATGGCATGGAAACTAAGCAGCTACTGTGTATTTAGAGTGGCCATGTTGTGTATGCAGGCAGATGAGTTGTCCTCAGAGTTTTCTTCTGTTTGTCTGAAACCTTTAGGTTGACCCTAAGGTCTGCATCCCTACCTCTGCTTGTCCAGTTTTAGTTGCCACAAAATCCAGAGATCAATGCCCATAAGGGGTGGAGAGGTGGGGGGAAGTAGCACTTCCGGTGGGTGTTCTTCCCACCAATCAGTGTCATTGAATAGTCTGGCCCTGTCCCCCCAGTACAGTTATTTTGGGGGTGATCTTTGACTTTCAAAGTTGTTGTGCCCCGCAGCCTGCCTTAGTCTAGATGCAGGTGCAGTAGAGCTTGGAACTAGAGGTTTTGTGCCGCCTCTCCCATTTCATCTCCGGATTGATTAATCTCCACCTCTCCCAAACCCCCACGAACAAATTAAAACAACTTGATTGTAATACAAGGCTTTTGGGGGTGTACAAGGGACTGCTGTCCTGACTATTGGGTAGGGGGAAGGGAGGGAAGAAGTAGTAGAAGACTCCCTCCTCCCTTGCCATTAGTATTAGGTAGAGAAGTCATGTACAGCCCAGTGAAGTGGCATGTCTTCCTGGTTCTCACTTCCAGCTCTGACTGCAGCAGTTTTGCTAGTGGTTAGAGCATGGGCCATGTGGGTGGGGGTGAGAAAGAGAGAAACAGTTTAGCCAGTTGCTTAACCTCTGCCTCAGTTCTTCCATCTGCAGATTCAGAACTCTGCTTGCCTTGCAAGGGTGTTGAGGCTTAATTAATGTTGCTATAGAAATGAGCATTAACTGCATTGTCAAAGCACAGAAGGAGGAGTTTCCTGGCTGACTGTTAGTTAGAAAGCAGCTCTCCCCCACTCAGAACATAAGCACTCATTGAGCAGAACACAGGGAATGGTCCACAAGGAGTATGTGGTTCTTTCTTCTAAAATGGCAAGGGTGGGCGTGAGTGGCTTTGTGTGCCCCAAGTTGGATATATGTGGCTGTGTCTAAGGAAGGAGCTGCTGCTTTGTGTGGGAAGGATCCTTCATGGCTGCGGACACTGGGATTCTTATAGAGTCTTTACAAATTGACAGCAAATGGCAAAACAAATGGCACGTTTAGTACTGCCTTAAGCTGGGAACTATTTCACAAACAGCATGTTTAATTAAAATGAAGCCACTGCAACCTGTTGTTATAAGATGCCTACTGTAGGGGTCAAGCAAGGAACCACAATGCTGATTTAAAAGATAAAGTCTGAAAATAATACATTGCAAAGCAGAATGCAGAACAAATGACAAGGAGATGGACTCTGTTTATTCCTTGGAATTCTATGGAACTGGAGACAGATGTTTTCTTGCTAGAAACCTAGATTTGGTTTAAAATGTCACAAAAGCTGGAGCAGTAAAAGCTTGCATGTTCTATTAGATTGCCCAGTTTATTCTGAGAGGCAACATGGCTTACTGCTCCACTGGTATTCAAGTAGTTACTTGTTATGTATTACATTATATAACTATATCTTGTAGACTGTACATCAGACTTTCAAAGTAAACCACGTTTTAAAAATGCAGCTATATTTCAAATATAACAGGTTACATGAGCCCAGCATGTTCCAAACCCATCTATTTTAGCCAGTACCAGTAGTGAGATTTCCCAGCTGATTAACACAAATGGACTGTTTGCTGCTCTGAAAAAATCTGAAGCATTTGAGTTAAATCTGAAGCTGCTACACTATACAGTTCCCATAGGGCTGCAGAGTAATGCAGGCTGACAGACTAACTGCCTCTCCTGCTGTGCTCGTGTCAGCTTTCAGGAAGGGGAGAGAAGTGAGCAGGTCCCAAGGTGCAGGCTGATATGTACTCTGTTTTCCTACCGCTGCTTGTGGGGCTGGGCAGAGGCAAGGCTCAGGAGTAGGTAACATCAGAATTATCACTGCTGTAGGATTTGCAATGCATTGAGATTTGCCATTTATGGTGATTTATTTTCATCATCATCATGAAAGTGATATTTGCTTTTTCTTGTCTCTGCTCCAGTGACCTCCAGAGGCTTGGAGAACTGCAGTCAGAACTGGCAGGGTTGGCAGACTTCACTGCAACTTACCTTCGGTGTCAGCTGCTTCTCATCAAGGTTTGGCTTCCTCTGCATTTCTGAGAGCTGGAATCCTGTTGTAACTGGCTGTTGCATTTCACAGTGGCATGCTAAGCAACTCTTGCACATATCACATTTTCTCCCTGTTAGTGGATCAAACGATTCCTAAGGTCTGCTTTAGGAAAACTGATTTACCGTGTAATCTCAGATGCAGTGGTACTCCAAGCACAGGCCTGGGACTGGGGAGCTTTTAACTCGGCTCTGACACTGCTTCCCCACTGTGGCTTTGGCAAATCATCTTTATACCTTGTCTACACTGATTTCACCCACCAGTACAGCTGCATTCATAACTTCCTCATGTATATACCTGGTTTACATTGGCACGTGAGGTCTGCATTGTGATCTGCAGTGTAAAAAATGTGTCTGTGCCGGGGGTTGCACAGTACAGCTACACTGGCTGAAATGTGAGTGCAGACAAGATCACTGAGAAGCTTTGTTCAATAGGAAATTTACATTTTCCTATTCATGGCTGTCAGCAAGTACTTTTGCTGAACTGGTTTTAAAACTGTTTGAACTGGTGGTGGGTGAAAATTACCCTTAGCACCTTTGTAGAAAAGATACTTCAGACTCAGGCAAGCCCAATTTCAGTTGTGTTATTGAAAGGTGGTCCCATCCTTTTTTTTAAATAACAGCAGGTAAACTGATTCATCAGGAGCCATTATTGATAACCAGGTCATGTTCTTGTTGCATTTGGGAATTTGTACCTTTTGCCTCATTTTCCAGTCTTCAAAATGGGAAGGAGGCTTACCAGGCTTCCAGGGATGATATGAAAATTAGGTTTTTTTGCTTTGAAGGTGACCTATATAAATGCAAAGCATGAATAATTTGTAAACAGTTTCCCAGAAGACTAGCATGACTGCCTACTGAAATACAGTGCTGCTATGAAAGTTAGGGGGAAATCAGCTTCTTTGCTCAGGATGAATTTACAAGTTGGAATTTCTTATACCAAGCTAGCAAGTCCTTGACTCATTTTCACTCCAGAGATATTCTACATAAGCACAGTTACAGTTTAATACACTATTCAGTTGCTGACTCAGCAACTTTTTGCAGAAGCAGCATGTGCTATCCATGCAGAAAATCAGGATTTGGGAGTTATTTTGAGACTCGTTCTTCTTTAGGAAGAGGGTAATTGGAGTGAACAGGTACACAGGGGCTTAGAGGATACTTTCTTGTGCTTCTGGCAAAGACGTGTTGCTTTGTTTGTAAGAACTGGGTGGCTTGGGCAAGGGAACTGTTCTTAAATGAGAAGTTTGATCACATAGAAAAATGTTGTAATAATAATCGTAATAATTTGGATAAAAACCATAAGCAGTTCAGAAACACCAAACCATTTATATTCCTAAATAGATTACAAAGTGAAAACCCTTGTGTGTCAAGCCAACCCCTTTCATTTGGAAAATACTATGTCAGGAAAGGGTATTATCTTCCACAAAATAGAAGTGGCTCGTACCTTCCCAATCTCTCTGGGCTGACAGGGTTCCTGACATAGAACTATAGGTGTTCCCTTCTTTTTGGAGGTGATGGACCAGGATTTTGAGAGCTAATTCAGATGGTGCGTATACTCTGCGTATTCTGAAACTCAGCTTCCTAGGAATTCCTGTTCAGCAATATGGAAAGGAAAAAGAGTTTGGAGGTGGGATGGAGGCAGTGGGTCTGGGCAGAACATCAGCCTTGCTACCTCTTACTTCTGCTGTCTCTAATTAATGAGTTGCTGTTAGTGCTTATTTATCATCTTGGCCTCTTGCGGGGGTGGAGTCATGGACGAATGTTCTGGGATACCTGGAGCTGAGAATTTTTGGGGGGTTGGCTCTTAGTGCCTGAAATCTGGAGTTCTGTGACCCCACCATATTTTTATTCCTGAGGGCACCACAGTATGGTGCTGACACATTCTTGAGGAAGAAGAAAGTCAATGCTGCTGTTGGACCAGCACAGAGGGGTTGTATGGGAAGAACGCCAAGCTTATCTAGTCTTTGTTCCTAAATCTATTGAGCCCTTCATATTCCCACTAGAGTGTATTAGCTAATTATGAACTGTCCATGGTTTGGTTTGGTTGTTTGTTTTTTTTGTAGGCCCTTCAGGAAAAACTGTGGAACGTGGCGGCTCCTCTGTACCTGAAGCAGAATGCATTGGCATCAGCAGCAGCAAGACAGGTGAGACTGAAGCCATGTCTTCCAGGGTCAGGTCCTCTGGGTAGAGACCTTTTCTTTTGTGCCCTATGCCTATGACACTCCTACGTAAATGAAAAATGCCAGTAATCTTGGATTCCAAAAGCCATGTGAATTGTGTGAAAGATGAGCCAAACATGAGGGTTTTTTTACTTGCTCCTGGCTCCTGGATAATTGGAGAGATATTTTATTGCCTGGATGCTGATTTAGAAAATAATTATGTAAGTAGCAGGTAATCAAGTGATAGTTTATGAGAAATTAGCCATATCCAAGATTTTAGGCTTATGAGTACTTCTTCAGTATAACTAAACTGATAGCTGAAAATTAGAAGTTCTGTGTCAATGTCAAAAGATATAGCTAGGTGGTTGACTTAATTCCAGTTGTATCTGAGGCTGATAGTCATCTGGGGAGTCTGATAAGGGATTCTGATGGCCTTCTGGGGAGTCAGCTTGCAAGATCAGCTCAGCTCCAGCCCCCTTATATGTGGCAGTCTGCATTTTAAGCACTGACAGCCAGTTTTAAAAGCGCCTTAAATGACAGTGGAGCAGTGGTGAAAGCTAGAAATGTAGAATCCATGACTGCTTTAGAGATGGAGTGCATGTCATTGTCTGTGAGCTGGACCTGAGGTATACAAGTCTTTTTGTTCAGTTCAGGTTTGAGACTGAACTGAACATCTGAACTTAGGAAAACTGTGAATCCAAAACCAAACCTTGATTCGTGCCCATGTTTAGTGTGGATAAGAGCCATCTGTGAGTCAACAAAGGCTACAGCTGCAATCACAATGGTGACCATGTGCAAAAAAACCCCAAGCTGGAGAACCTAAATAAAAGTGGACAAGAAAGCAAGCTATTTAACAATCTGGAAACAAACCTAGGCTAGCAAGGAGTGCGTCGACCTGCTGGGAAAAAATATTGACGCACGCAGTCTGCAGTTAATTAAAATGTAGCGAGAGGTAGCTATCTCTGTCTGTCAGAGCCTTCTATGTTGTAGACGGCTGCCCCCAGAGACTGGGGGAAACAAACGTCTATCAGCCTTGTAAATCTTTCTCTAATTGCAATATCTTTCTTGGGAGCTCTGCCCAGCAGCACATCCTCAGGGAGGCTGATATTTGTTCTCATTGCACCTACAGATCACTTAGCAGCCAATAGGAAGAGAGGGAGCCTTTCCTATCATGTCATTTCCCAGTACCTGAGTTCAGTGTGAAATGCTGATTTATAGAGAAGCTAGCTACCTTTAACTCAAGTACTTCTTTCTTCTACATAAACCTATCTTCCTCTATTTCAGTGACTGTCAAACTTTTTAGGCTCAAGTCAACCCTCCATAACTTCTGAATTTTGCAACAGCCCCATTGAGAATCATCGAGTTAGTCTAAATTCAGAAGAGATGGAGGGAGTCTTGAGACTAAAAAGGTTACGAACCACTGATCTAGTTGAGGGTAGTGGGGGCAGGGCTTAACCCTGCCATGCTATGCTGTTTCCATTGTGTCCCCTCCTTGCCTCCAGTCTGTACTTGAGGGATAAAGGTGGCCCTTGCTGCTAATGTTGCCCCTGTGAGGTCTCGTGTACCAACAGTGACCCCCAAGCTCCTCTTGCTGGTTCCAGGAGCATGGGAAGTGTGAAAGGGATGAATCGAGCTTCTAAGCCAAACAGGGGAAGAGAGCTTTTACTTCTCTGTACAGGAACTAGGCAGCCTTAATGAGATCTTGCGGTTCCTCCTTCCTCTCCAGACAGCCATGGCACCCTGGTTGAGAATCACTGGTCTACATAGTAAAATTAGGCAAATTGACATTATCGGCAATTGGCTTTAATGGCCAATGTGGCCAGTAATGTCACCGATAAATGCCATGCACATGCATGCGGCCAGGAATGTAGCCCGGAAGCTTGGAGAGCAGTGTTTGGCCGGTAAATCTGTTTGGAGGAAGGGGAGGCACCAATTGAGGTCCCCACAGTGAGGGAGGGAGTAGATCAGGGCAGGGGATGGTGCTGTCTGGCTTGGGTGGGGCACAGGGCAGAGCTGTGGGTGGCTTGTCCAGGGGGTGGAGGGGGTGGCTTGCTGCCGTGTGTACCCAGGGGGAGGTATGGGTGGGGGGGAATGTGCCCCCCCAGTATTTGTGCGCAGAGCGTGGGCAGGCTGCCTGCTGCAGGCTTGGACCTGGGGGCTACGCTGGCCTCTTTCTGGCAGCGGGGCTGGGCTGGGGCTGTGCTCAGGGTGGGCAATGGTAGTGCTGGGAGGGAGGGCTATAAGGAATTCTGGGTGGCTGTAGCCCACCACGTGGCTCCCCTCTCCCAGCTCTGGCTCTGCCCACCCCAAGCACAGCCTTGGCCCAGCCCCACTGCCAGGAAGAAGCCGGCGCAGCCCTTGGCCCTGAGCCTGCAGCTAGCAGCCTGCCCTCACCCCGCACAGAGGCTTGCTGGCTGGATGCTTCTCTCCAAACTACTGGGTTGCATATTGGTTGTCACAGGGGTGAGCAATTATTTTAACTGGAGGGCTGCTTAATGGGTTCTGGCGAGCTGTCGAGGGCTGCAAGGGCAGCCCTGCCCCTTGACAGGTGCCCTGCCCATGATTGCTAAGCGGAAGTCCCACCCCCTAACCTGCAACCTTTGCCACCTGATGTCCCTCCTCTTGCCCTGGAAGTAGTGTTTGGGAAGGAGGTTTGCCATCTTGCAACTGAAAAAAACCCAAGTTGTATACTAAAAATCAAACGTCCACAATAATATATTTTAATTTTATTTAAAATATTTTTTTCCTGATTTGTGTGTGTTTTTGTTATGTATATAGAGGTGATTGCATAATAGCTCAAAATGAAGTCTTACTCATGTATATTGCAGGGGATCTGGGGGGAAGTGTGGGGTTTTTTGGGGGCTGTGCACATAGGTGTGAATGTGGGTGGGTGAGTGTGTGTGGGTGGGGGGTGTGGGTGCATAGCAGTGAGTGGGACCCCCACCAGAGGCGCATGGGTGTGTGGGCAGTGCTTGTGTGGAAGGGTGTGGGGGGATGTGAGGGAGGATGTGGTTGTGGGGTTTGCAGGGGAGGGTTTGTGAGTGGTGGGGTGTGCATGGGACCCCTGTGTGCATCCCCTGAGCTGGTTAGCACCTGCCCCCACCCTACAATAACCTGGTGCTTGCGCGACCTGCGGTGCCTCCCTAGCAGCACCCAGTCTCACCCTGTGTCCACTCCAGACTCACCCCAGTAGGAGTGGATTAGCCAGAACCCAGGCACAGCTCCAACCCAGCATGCCCTGTGCCTGTTCCATACCTCCCACCTGTAGCATGTCCTGCCGCCTGCTACATCCTTTCTAGGCAGACCAGACGGCGGCAGCTTCTTGTACCTGGTGCTGCTGTTGGCCCCAGCCCCGCAGTACTGGTGGGGACCTGCGCTGCACAGCTCTGACCCTGCACCTGCTCCGGACTCACCTGCTTGCACTAAACTGTGGCAGCAGCAGCGCTGGCCAGGCAGAAAATGTTGCTCAGCACTGGGGAAATATGGCTTTTCCCCATCACTGCTGCCCAGTGCTCACTGGTACAGCTGTTTGGAGCCCGTGCAGGGTTGCCCAGCATCTGCTCTGCATTGTCATCGCTGCTCCATGGGGCAGCCCAGAGGTGGCAGTGACAGCAGCAGAACCACAGGGCAGCCCAATGCCTTGGCTGGGCAGCTGAAGCAGGGAGTAGCAGGCAGCAGCAAGGGGGATGGGGGCACTTTTCCTCTGTGCTGAGCAATAGTTTCTGCCTGGCTGCTGCTGCTGTTTTAGTGTGAGCAGGTGAGCCCAGAGCAGACGCAGGGTTGGGGCTGTGCAGCGTGGGTCCCCACCAGTGCCACAGGGTTTGGGCCAGCAGTGGCGGCAGATGCAGGAAGCTGCCACTGCCTGGTCTGCCTAGAAATGCAGTCCAGCTGCAGAGCTGTCCCAACCCCTCTGCATGCCCAGGGGGAGGCAGGATGTGCCTCCACCTGATAGTGCCTGTGCCAAGCGGGATCGAGGGACACTCCGCAGGCCCAGATAAAGCCCCTCCACTGGCCGTTTTTTGCCCACCCCTGGGTTATCGGATTGGTACTGGCCGATATGGCTGGTTAATAATTGGCCATCGGTATTGGCCAAAAAAATCTTTCAGTGCACCCCTCTTGTATAGTGTAGTTAACACTTAAAATGGGATGTGAATTATTTCATGACTGTAAGGTTGGTTGTTAGAGAAGGCCAGTGGCATTGGCCTCGCCACTCTGTCCCCATCATCATGGTGGCGCCCCACCGCTGCCTCCTGTCCAGGACACTCTTGGAGCACTCTGGTTGTTTCAGACAATCAATCGGAGCGTGAATAAAGTGTTACGGACAAGCAGACTACGGCCTTTATAATATTAGAATGGGGCCCAAAATTGGACATAGTACTCCAGATGATATCTCACCAGTGCTGAATACAGCAGAAGAATCACTTCCCTTGATTTGCAAATGATACTTCTGTTAATACAGCCTAGTGCTGTTGAATTGAAGGACTCTAAATCACTTATTTCAGATCTGAAGCACCCTCCTCTTTGGATTTATGCATAAGTCTGCTACCTTCTGCTGCTTACTTCTTGGATCAGTGGTTCTCAACCTTTGCAGGCTCAAAGCACCCCTTGGAAATTATAAGCTCTTTGTTTTTGCTCAGTTTTTAACTACAGAAAAATACCATGGCAAGTCTTCAGTTGCAAAGAACTCAAAGCTTACAACGGGGCAGAATGTTTTTAACACTGGATTCCTATTTGAAATCTCTCAGTTTATCTTGTGAATCACATCTGCACACCTAACAGAGCAAATATTGGATGAGACCAAATGGCACCTCTGAAAGGATCTCGAGGGACCCCAGGGTCCCATGGTACCGTGGTTCAGAGTCACTGTCTTAGACTGATACAGCAGGCTAGCATGAGTAATATAGTGTGTGGCTAGTGAGTATCCTGCCCTGAAGAGCTTACTATGTAGATGCGAGGAAGACCGGATACAGGAGAAACACAGATAGAGGAATGCTTGTTTCCACAAGGGTTGTGCATTGTATTTCTTTAATTTACATGGAGATTTAGGTTCTGATGCCCTTATGCCTGCTAGGTAGTACATCATAGTATCATAGTAGCTAGGGTCAGGAGGGGCCTGAACAGATCATCCAGCCTGACCCCCTGCCACAGGCAGGAATGAATGCTGGGTTTGCAAGACCCCAGACAGGTGATCATCCAACCTCCTCTTGAATTTGCCCAAGGTAGGGGCGAGGACCACTTCCCTGGGAAGTTGGTTCAAGATTTTGGCCCTAACTGTAAAATATTGCATTCTGATCTCTACCTCATTCCATGGGTATAGTTCCACTGAAATAATGGGGGCTACTTGTGGAATAATATACTATTCAGTAAAGGCAGAAGTAGAATCGATGACTGCGCCTGTCGAACCCCTAACAGTTTGATAATCAATTAATCCCATATTGTCTATACTGTAGATTATGGAAGAAACTTACAAAATGGAGTTCATGTACAGTGGAGTGGAAAATAGACAAGTGGTCATTATTCATCACATGAGACTGCAAGCAAAAGCGCTACAGCTTATAGTGACTGCACGTACCACAAGAGGGTAAGAATTGCCTACAATCAAGGAGATGGGGCTTCTTGAAAGGAAAACTGTAATAGCCTCCTTCCCTTGCATGTGGCTGAAAATGTCATTGTTGTCATTGTCAGCAATCCCTCAATTCGAGAAGGATTTCTACCACGACTCATTGATGGGTCTTGAGATGACTCAAGAGTCCAATCCTTGAGCCACAGATCTATCTGCAGACGTTTCAGGTCTTTCCACGGGGGAGGGGAGGCCATAAGCCAGGCTTCCTCTCCTTTTCCTTCTTCCACTCTCTCTTCTCTGGTTCAAGGGAAAGATGCTTTACCTCAAAATGGGCAGCTGCGTGGTTGAGGTTACGGTGCCATTGGAGTTGGTCAGTAGCCAGGTCCTGCCATGTCTGAAAACAGCAAAGATGTAAATAACTGTTTGTTAAAAGAATGTATATTAAGAATGAAAAGATTTAATCAAAGAACTTGTACAGCTACACAGCACAAAATCAAATTATAAAATAGCTTGGAATGCACAAAACATTTGATTTGAGTGGTCTATGACACACTGATTTATAAAATACATAAATGAAGATATTGAAAATTTATAGCATGCCATTTATTTTTAGACATATTTAAATAAGAAAAGTTTCACATTAGTATTGTTAAAGGATTCCATCATAAACTTGGTCAACAGGTCTTTTCTGTTTTAAAAAAAAAAAAGGGGATAAGGGAAAGAAAAGTGATGTTTTACTTAATCTTTCTTTCTCGCAACAGGTATTTTATGTCCCAGTTGGGTAGATATTTAATCATGCAGATAACTTTGATCATTACAGAATCATAGACTATTAGGATTGGGAGGGACCTCAGGAGGTCATCTAGTCCAACTTCCTGCTCAAAGCCGGACCATCCCCAACTAGATTATCCCGGCCAAAGCTTTGTCTAGCTGGGTCTCAAAACCCTCCAAGGATGGAGACTCTACAGTCTCTCTGGGTAACCTGCTCCAGTGTTTTACTACCCTCCTATTAAGAAAATTCTACCCAATATCTAACCTCAGCTTCCCTTGCTGGAAAATGACACCGTTGCTCCTTATTCTGTCATCTGCCACCACCGAGAACAGTCTCACTCCATCCTCTTTTGAACCCCGCTTCACGTAGTTGAAGGCTGCTATTAAATCCCCACTCAGTCTCCTCTTCCGACTAAATAAGCCCAGTTCCATCAGCCTCTCCTCAAGTCATGTGTCCCAACCTCCTAACCATTTTTGTTGCCTTCTGCAGGACTCTCCAATTTGTCCACATCCTTTCTGTAGTGGGGGGCCCAAAACTGGACACAGTACTCCAGATTTGGCCTCCCCAGTGCAGAATAGAGGGGAATAATCACTTCCCTTGACCTACTGGTGACACACCTACCAGTGCAGGCCAGTATGCCATTAGCCTTGGCAACAAGGGCACATTGCTGCTCATATTCAGCTTCTTGTCCACTGTAACCCCTAGGTCCTTTTCTGCAGAGCTGCTGCCCAGCCAGTCACCCCCAGTCTGTACTGGTGTATGACATTGTTCTGTCCTAAGTGCAGGACTTTGTACTTGTCCTTGTTGAACCTCATGAGATTCCTTTTGACCCAATCATCCAATTTGTCTAGGTCACTGAATCCTAGCTCTATCCTCCAGCTTATCTACTACTTCCCCCAGGTTGGTGTCATCTGCAAACTTGCTGAGGGTGCCCTCTATGCCATCTTCCAGGTGGTTGATGAAGACATTGAACAAAACCAGCCCCAGGCCCCACCCCCTGGGGCACTCCACTTGATACTAGCTGCCAACTAGACATCAAGGCATTGATTACTACCCTCTGAACCCTCCAGCCAATTTTCTATCCACCTTGCAGTCCATTCATCCAGCCCGTACTTCCTTAGCTTGCCTGTGAGAATGTGGGAGACGATACCAAAAGCCTTGCTGAAATCAAAGTATACACATCCACTGGTCTCCCTGCATCCACAGAGCCAGTCACCTTGTCATAGAAGGCAATCAGGTTAGTCAGGCATGACTTGCACTTGGTGAATCCATGTTGACTGTTCCTAATCACCCTCTTCTCCTCCAAGTGCTTTGAGATGGATTCCTTGAGGATCTGCTCCATGATTTTTTCAGGGACTGAGGTGAGGCTGACTGGTCTGTAGTTGCCTGGATCCTCTTTTTTCCCTTTCTTAAATATGGGCATCACATTTGCCCTTTTCTAATCATCTGGGACCTCTCTTGATCACCTTGAGTTTTCAAAGATGATGACCAGTGGCTGTGCAATCTCATCAGCCAACTCCCTCAACACCCTCAGGTGCATCCCATCAGGCCCCATGGAGTTGATTACATCCAGCTTTTCTAAGTAGTCCCTAATCTGTTCTGTCACCACTGTTGGCTGCTCACCTCCTCCCCAAAATGTGATTCTATGATTCTGCCCTACTTGCTAATCTTCCTGTGCATCAGGATGACTTGTTCCTGCACTCTCAGTAAAGCTTTTTTAAAGTACAGCCAGGTCTCCTGGACTCTTCTCCCCTCCTCAGTCTAGCCTCCCAGGGGATCCTGCCCATGAGTTCCCTGAGGAAGTCAAAGTCTGCTTTTCTGAAATCCGGGGTCCTTACTCTACTCCTCTCCATCCTTCCTTTCCTCAGGATCCTGAACTGAATCATCTTGTGGTCATTGCTGCCCAAGTTGCCATCCGCTACTACATTCCCCACCAGTTCTTCCCTGTTTGTGAGCAGCAGGTCAAGAAGAGCACAGCACCTAGTTGGCCACTCCAGCACTTGTGCCAGGGAGTTGTCCCCTATACTCTCCAAAAACTTCCTGGTTTGCCTGTACACTGCTGTTTTGCCCTCCCAGCAGATGTCAGGGTGGCTGAAGTCCCCCATGAGAACCAGGGCTTGTGATAGGGAACATACATGATCTTAATAAAGATGATCTTAGTAAAGATGATAACATGATTAGGAACATGCATGATCTTAATAAAACAGATCATATTTTATTAAGTTTAGTTTGATTACTCCAGTAAGTAAAGTTCTAAATGACTTTTTAAGTATTTGTAATTTTAAGGATTGTAATTTTAGCTTGGTAGAGTTTGGGTAAAATACTAGGAAGATAGCTAGGAGATGGGCTTTTATTTTTTGGTTACTACCAATGTACTCCATTGCCTTGAAGTTATTTTACCTATTTGCTTCTCAATTTCCCATCTATAAAGTGGGGGACTTCACCTTGGCACTGAGAGCTCATTTGTTATGTAAATGCAAAGCGTTGGGGTTTTTGTGGGGGAGGGGTTGTGGTAGTATCACAGTGGCTTCAAATTATCTTTAGGATTTTGCTTATCTGTACTATCTTCTAAAATTCCCATGTAGCTTTACAATGTTTATGGGACTAGCCAGTTTCTCTCTAATATTTCCCTTTTATTTTCCATTCATCTTCATTTCAGAGTGGAACCCCTTTTTGGGATGTGTGAAAAGTTTTTACAGGAAGTGGACTCTTTTCAGAGGTAATTGCATTGCTCTTTTCCTTTTCCATTTAAACTTTTCTCTTTTTTCTATGCTATCTTAAGTAGAGAACGTGTCAGACTAATCTTAGGCTTTCAGATACCTAATTTTTGTTTTAGAATTAAGTTGGGCAGTAGGCACTGCTAGCTCTATGCATTGAGTTTCTTGCTTGATATTTGGTTTCACCTGTGTGTATGCAGCTCCAAATGGCACCAGTATGCTTTGTACATAAAAAGCCTGATCATGCACCTGTTGAAATCAGTTATAAAGCTCCTGCTGTCTGATATAGAATCAGGGTCTTGGAAAACAGAATATGTAAGTACAGCTTTACTGGGAAGATCTGAGAGCACAGTTTTTCATTTGATTTCTTTAATTAACGAACCTTGATTATAAGAATAGTAGTTAATGGGAAGGTTAGAAACTTTGAAGGTAGTTTTTGGCCCCTGATACTCTGACAACTCCTCTCTAATGCTTTTAACATAGCCCATCAGGCCCCATGGAGTTGTATATATCCAGCTTTTCTCTGGTATCTTAGTGCCAGCTTTTCTTGCATTGCTTACCTTTCTTTTGATATTTTTTGTGAATTCTTTTTAAGTACTTGTTCACATGACTGCTACTTCTGGAGCACATGCATCTGAGATTGGATTATTTTTGTCAGCTGTGTTCATGGGACTTCCCACTGTGCCTTTAACATCCTTACCCTGTCATCATTTCTGGGAATAGTGAAGGGTGCTTAAATCCTCTCCGTTTACTCAGCCACAGAGTAGTTCAGAGCTCTTCATCTCTGACATGGTGCATGTTTTACCAAATCACACCAGTAGCATTTGTCTATAAGGCATGCAGAATCTTATAGCTGATTTCAGTGGGTTAAGGACAATGAATGGACTGTTGATCCAGTCTTGCAGACCACCTCGTGCAACTGGGGATGTACACCAGCAGATTGATTTACTTCAGAGCAGAACAAGAAATGGTAGACTGTCTTCTCCTGATCCCAGGCTATTTGTACAGTGCTATCATGCCACAAGCTCCAGAGATGAGCTATAGGTCCTATGAATTCTCCATTGCATACTCTTGATATAATTAGGATTCTTTCGTATTACCTTGGTAGGGTTAGACTATTCAGGATCTCCCCAACTGTTTGTAGCTTTTTGCTGACAGGATGAAATTCAAGTCAGTATTCACCTAGTGATTAATTAAATGGGTGTCTGTTGTATTAGCTCATGCCATGAATTAGCAAAGTTAAATCCACCAATGCAGATTGTGTGTACCCTAATAGATCATGCTCAGATCTGTTTGCTCTGAGCAGCATATCTGTTTTAGAAATTTGGCAGGAAGCTGTATGGGAACCAGACCCCACTGTCATCCAGGCCATGTTCTTAGTTGAGACATCAAGATCCAATTCCTCTTTGGCAGAGCTGTCTTGCGATCATTAAATAGGCTTTCTGGCACTCACTGATTGACACTCAGGTCACGAGACACTAGTCAGCAAGAACAGAATCCCTGGGTAATGGCTTGAACCAAGAACAGTGACTGCACAGTACCTCCTTCTTAGAGGTATGGTGTTCATATGCATCCCAGGACCTCCCCTCTTCCCTGATGCTGTTGGATCCTATACTGGCTGGATCCCCCATTGGTGAAGAACTGAAGGGTGGGTAAGCCTTCAACCCTTTTATGCTTCCAGTTTGGGAGGAGGAAAGGGTATGAGGAGCCCTAAGGTGGAGGCCTGGCCCCAACATAATTGCTGGCTAAACTAATCCCATCTTGTGCCCATGTGCATGTGTGCACCAGAAATGGGAATCCATGTGACAACCTGTCACAAAAAAAATAGGGTAAGTAGTAGGTGGGTTTTTTGTTAATGTTGCAGCTGACCTTGAAGCTTGTCTGTTGATTCTGACACTTTTACAATGTCAGCCCTGTTGTGATAGTTGAAACAGATAAAGCTGAACCATTGAGAGAACCAAGGAGTACAGTCCTAGGAAATGACTTTGATTTACATTCCTTATGTTCTTAACACACGCAGATGTTTTATCTCTGAGCTCCCCCACATGCAAGGCAGTTTCGTGGATCAGCTGCTAGACCTGATGCCCAGGCTTGTGACCTCCAAGCCTTCAGAAGTGGTAAAAATCCTGCAAACAACGCTACGACAAAGCGCCTTCCTTCACCTTCCTCTGCCAGAGCAGGTGAGCAATCCACAGGGAGCAAAATAGAGGCATCTTCCAACCTGTTCCCAGAACTAACTCATGAGCCCTTTATGGGCCAGTCATGAGGGACGTTTTTCTTCATACTAAATGTCAGGGTCTTCAGGACTGTTGCCAAAAAATAAAGAGCTTGAATAATTTTTAGATAATGTCAGCAATTTAAAAAAATTCACACACAATGGATTCTTTGTTAGAAGGTGGAATAATTGTCTCTTTCTCCCACTGCTCCAGCTCCATAAAGCTTCTGCAAATATCATTGAACCTACCGGTGAGTCTGATAACCCTTTGAGGTTCACATCAGGGTTAGTTGTGGCTTTGGATGTTGATTCAACTCTGGAACATGTGCAGGATCCTCAGACCACAGTTAAAGTTCAGGTAATGAATGATTGTTTTAAAGGATAATGGAAGTAATTAGCATTTTCTCCTAGTTCACCATAATGATAATATTCTTAAGTTACAAAAATGCTATGCTTATTTTTGATGAGGCATTTATTTTCTGTGATTAAATACAGCATTACATTTAGATCAGTGGCTCTCAACCTTTTTAGACTTAAGCAGTACTCAATAGACTCAAAGCATCCCTCCACAACTCTTGTGAATTGAGCAGCAGCCCACTTAAAAAAACAACTTATTTATGACAGTGCTTACCTCCTTCCAGAGGGGTTGGCTAATGGGACATAGGGTATCGGGCAGGGACAGGGACTGAACCTGAGCTGCCTCTTATCTGCTTATCTTCTCACACCTTGTGGCACCCTTCAAAGGATCTTGTAACACCCTATTGAGAAACGCATCTATTTAGGTACTAGTTTGCAGCTAGTACACAGGCTTTGACTTAAGCACAGTCCACAGAAGTTTTGGTTTGAGTCCACGTCTGCTTATGGGACAGATCAGGGCATTGGGGTAAGCTATGTAAAATTCCAAGTGGTCAAGCCTTCTGATGGCACTCTGTCATTGTAAATTTTTCAGGTTAATGCTGCTTTTTGTATTCAGGAAGCATGTTGTGGGCACAAGCTAAAACAAATATTAGACGCTATGCATCAGAAGGGTGAATGAACTGGTGGGAGCAGAAGTTGCTGTTTGAAAGCTTACACAAAGATATAGGCACATTGTCCTCCTTATTTTAAATATCCTTCCTGCTATTTAGTCACTTACATAAAACATAACCAAGGACACAGTCGTGATAGTGCAGAATAAATTGTATAGCCCTAAAGGTTTTCATTGCAGGCTGGGAAACCCAGTGTGTAGTGCAGAGGTGAAAGCCAGTTTTAATGCATGTTTTTCTATGCAGCAGTCCGGAATGGCCATCACGTAGCCAACACAACTAGAGGATTAGCTACAACGTTAGGAAGGTAGGGAATATAAGTTAGTGTGAGAAAAGCCAACCACAATGTATAAATTCCAAGTACAGTAAACTAAGAACATAAGTGTAATAAAATCATAGAGTAGTAGGACTGGATGAGACCTCCAGAGGTCATGTAGTCCAATCCCCTGCCTGAGGCAGGGTCAGCCCTATACAAACCATCCTATAAAATCCATGATCTAAACTCTACATAAGACTACCATCAACCCTGACACAACATAGACATAATACCCTAACCTCCTGTGTCTTGCATGTAATGCTTCTATTGATGAATCCCAAAACTACTTTTGCCTTTTGGGTCAGACCAGTGGTCCATCTAGCTCAGTATCCTGTCTCTGACAGTACTAGAAGTAGATGCTATAGAGGGAAAGTATTGAACTGGATGTTTCTAGAGTGATCTGTCCCCTATTCATTTCCCTCATTGGCATTCACCATTATATGTTTAGAAATGCCAGACAAAACATCTCCAGCCGAATTCTGTTTAATAGCTATTAATAAGAACAAACTTTTGGTGGTTTCTTCTTTACTTCCATTAGGTATTATATCCAGATGGACAGGCACAGTTAATCCATCCTAAACCAGCGGACTTTCGAAATCCTGGTCCTGGAAGGCACAGATTGATCACTCAGGTTTACCTTTCGCACACTGCCTGGACAGGTAAAGAGCACATGCTTGTGTATATTATCTTCTCCTATCCCAGCCTTTCGTTCCTGAGGTGCATCTCACACAGACAATGCTACTCTCTCTTAAAAGGACTTCTGGGGAAAATGCAATCTCCAGCTGCCATTGCCTCCTTCCCCAGAGCTTTCCATATTCTGGAGGGAGCTCCTACGTATCCTTGTGACCCTCTGAGCAGTTGTATCCCTCAGCCTGACACGGCTGACAGTCCTTTGCCACCACTCCTTAGCTAACCAAGCAGCCTGCTGCCGGTGTGAGAGGGTGTTTGTGTGCCACCCAAAGGGGAGCACGTTTTCCAGGACACACAGCCTTTGAATGAGAGAACAGGTATTAAATGCGAGTCACTCCTTTTTTAGCAGAGAGCAATTAGCACTAGGTCCCAGGACTCAGTATCCTAATTATAGAAATGTTGAGTCCTTTTTAAATGATCCAAGTAATTCATTGTTCTACTTCCAAAGAGTAGTTGAACACAGCAGCAAAACCCTGAAACTGTGCATTTGACAGTACTTTACCGCTGATTTTAAATATATGCTTTTCTGTATCTTCACTAAAAAGAAAAGCTTTATCCCTGAATTCATCTTGGGCTTTGATGTTAATACTTCAGTAGTAGTTGGCATTTTGCACTTGTCCTCTACAATGTGCTTCCATGACTGGTATATAGGGCATTAGCCTACCAACGTAAAGGTCCAATATTTCTTTTCAGTGTCTCCTAAACAGGGTTCCTGCTTTTCCCTTTCACTTTATTCTATTCAAAGATTTTATCCATTTCCAGTTAACAGTATTTGGTAGGATTTTTCTCTAACCAGTACTCACATTTATTGTAGTTTTCTGTTTGCTGTGATATTTCTTACATTTCTACAATTTATGGAACATAATATGGCTTCGAAGCTTTCACTTATGCAGTTGTGTGCTGTAGAAAAGATGGCTTTCTTTTAAGATACGGAGCACCTGAATGTAGAGTTTTCATGCTCCATTGAAGTTGATGGAAATTTTGCCATGGCTTTCACAGAGTAGGATGAGTCCTGTTATTTTATGATTCTGCAATAGGCCTCCTGTGTGATCTTGGTCAAGTCACTTAATATCTCAGTTTTGGGGGTTGCTATTTACTGTATTGTGTAGATTAGTGAATAAAGTGCTTGAGGG